TCAAAATCAACTGAATATAAATCATGCTAGAAGTGTTTGGTGTTAGTTTTTAAATTCCTTGATATAAAATCAGGTTACTAAAATACATTCCTTTTTTTTTATTTTAATGTACATTTAAATGGTTTAATGGACAATGACCGATCGCCATCTTTGCAGGGTTGATGATACGGACTGAGGAAAATGCTGCGCTCCCTTTTCAAGGCAATTTAATGAACATGAAACGTAGTTGGAAGGAAATGTCGCCGGGTTAATAAGGCTTGCGTTACAATATATATCAACGTTTATTTAATCAGTAGAATGATCAAAATCAGCCCGTTTTAAGGTTGATGTTCAATATAATTGATTTTTCCCTTTAGTCAATTAGTCACAAATGATCTGTGAGCTCTACCACTAGACAGAAACTGCCATGTTGAGGTTTTTGATTTAGAAAAGATGCAGCAAAACTGTAAAAAAACAAAGTGGATACCAAATTGATCACGTGCATTGGATGAAAAAGGGCATTGTTTGAGTTTACCACATTGCTTTGGCCTGTAAATGAAGATAAAGAGAAGAAATGTGTTACTAACAGTTGTTAGTATCATAAGAAAATGCATTATTCACATTTCCCTGACCTCTTTCCTTTTGTAAAGCTTCAAAGGTAAACTCAAGTACAAAAAAAAAACCTACAGCAGAGCGAATACTCAGCGCTGAGCAAATGTCTGATTACTGCCGACAGTGTCCTTTCTCAGGCCAGGTGGGGATTTTGTTGAATGACCGGCTAGCGGAGAGATGACGTCTCAGTAGCCCACTTTTCTCTGTGAACAATAACATAAAATCAGTGCTATAAAGAGATGGGCTGTGAAATGGCACCACAGAATAATCGGAGTTAAAGTTTTATGATGGCTTCCCATTTGATCTGTCGAGATCAGATGATCAAAGACAGCGTTGAAGTTGCACCATGAAAGAGTCAGCCACCAAAGGGAAATTCTCTCACCGTCTTGCTTGGAGGTCAAAGTTTAGGGACGGCTACATTGCCAAAGGGGGGTCTGGTCTGGGATTCAACATCATTCTCCAAATACATTGAATGTGTGCCAGGACAAGAGTGTGGACCCATGTCCTGTGATTAAAAGACTGAATTTCTTCCTAATAGGCAGCGTTTAATAAATGATAAAGGGTGGAATAAAAAATTAGCTTAGCTCCAACTACAAGCACCAACAGGGACTCCCCAAAGATCACTTGTTATGCACTTAATTATGGGCCCCACAAAATTAGCTTTTCATTTCATTTCCTTGCCAACATAGGTGATTTGCTGCCTGCTGAGCTTTAGTGTCAAGAGAACAAATAGTGCCTTTGTGTTATCAGCCTTTACAGGTGGACCTTAAAACCTGGCAAGTCATCCTGCTGTGGAGAAGAAGCTTCAAAGATCATCTTTCCTTCCTCAATTGAGAAGGATCTGGTTAGATTGCACCGAAACACAAGTTAATAACATGTCATGTTGTAATTCGATACCTTATACCACTGGTTCCCAACCTGAGGGTCCCGACCCACACTAGAGGTTAAACTGAATGGAATTATTTTTAGTGTAGATTATTCTTTAAGATTTATACTTAAAGACATCTTCGAGGGTACGGTAAAGACCTGAACACAAGCTATATTCATGGAGCCGTCGCTCTCTGCATTAGAAAAGTACGCACTTAAAACAACCAGAGTTCATAGGACAACAAGTGTCAAGGACAAACACGAATCTGTCAAAAAAAGCAGCCTAATAATTAAGTATGATGTTAAAAAACAAACATCATACAGACAGAATTGCATTAGAAGACTGATGCAATATTCACAGGAAATGGTCTGCTCAAAAATTATCCAAACTGCTCATTCTACATAAACTTCCTGCAGCTATTGCGTTCAGTATTTGGGTTCATTATACAGTTCATCAGTTGTTCTGTACTGTTAGTTATTGAATATAATATGAGATACCCATTCAATATCTAACTTAGTCAAGGGTCGTCAGTTTACTGATAAAAAAGGGATCCCTTAAGGAAACTGTATGTGTTGTCCAACCTGACATTTTTTTCAGGAAAAGCCAAAAGCGTGAACCTGCTGGTGGCACTTAGGGGAAAGGTCGGGGGATCACCACAGGATCGATCCTCTTCATCCAATAGTTGTTGAGATATTTCTGAATAGAACTAGTGGACCGATTGCCCAGCATCACCGTCACTTGCCACTTACCAAGATGCTAAGAAATACAAATCCTTAAAACAAAAGTCGGCATAACTACTTTCACATTTTGGCATGGAAGCAGGCCTTCACAGTTCAATGAAACAATGAAAATGGCAATTATAGATGCATCTGGTGAAACACAAAATAGACAACTGAAGCTCCTTTGTGACAGCCACAGAAGACTCGTTTGCTCTTTGCCAATAACACAATATCATTTGAAAACATTTGACAGATAGTTGCAAAAATGACAAGTCAAATTCACAAAACAAACATTGATCATCAGTGGGACTTCCCTGCCAATCCAAAAGCTGCATGTTTGCTTTACAAATAACACACATGCACTTTCAATCATTTAATAAAAGCTTGGATATAAGACCTTTTTTTTTTGTTTTGTTTTTTTTACAGCAAGTGTCCAGCAGTCCAGTTGTTTTGATGGGAAATCCATTTTCTGATCCGACTGCAGTGAGGTTGAACAAACCCCAGCTTACAAGGCATTTCTTCAGACATTCAACACAGTTTGAATCAGATACAACAAACAACAAGTGTGCTGGTTTAGGCGCCAACTCACCACAAATATACTCTTCATCTTCTTTAACTGTAGTTGCCAGAAACACTTTTACAAATATATATAGATTTTTTTTTTTTTTTTATATCTCAAATATTTATATAAATAGAAGTTGATTAAAGATCTGGGCATTATGACAAAGTGCAAAAAAAGGAAGGAGGGGGGATGGTTTTCTTTTAAAAAACTGTTAATACCTCCATAAACTTCAACAACTGCTCTGAAATCAACATCCATGAGCTTTTGTCTTAAATTTTAGCTGCAGCAGGCTCTAACTTCCCATTTCTGTTACTGTAAACAGTAAGTCAGGGTGGCATTTCCCAAAAACATCCTAGCGCCAAGATCGTCATGTTTGATCTGTGGATACAGGTGTGGAGAGCAGGGAATAAAATCTTGACATCACTCCTGAACCATGGTTTTCAGCAATTAAACCAACATAAAACATCTACATACTAGTACATCTGTCCCGTTAAACAGAGAAAACTGTAGGGAAAAAACCCAAAAGATTTGTTTATAATGTAATCGTAGGTGTGTTAACCAGTTAACTGATAAAGCATGTGTATCTACAGTATAATAAAGACCACCGAGCCGCTACCACTAAACTGAAAAGAGCTGTTAGACGATCTCACACGCTGATGAATAAAGTGTCATCATGGGAAGCACTTGGGAAAAAAGCGTAACACAGATACAACTGATTATGTACAATTCATTCATCATTAGTGCTTAGACGCTTTTGAGACAAAAAACCCCAAAACAAAAAAACAAAAACAAAAAAAACGAATCCTAGGAATTATTCCCACTGAAGCGGTTAGCAAGTACCAGGTGGGGCGGGGGG